GAATTCAAGTTTTTCAGTCAGCTGTTTTACGTACAGCGTCGCCTCTTCTGCATTATTTCACCTTCACACAAACGGTCCACTTTTCTGCTTTGTTTGCGTATCTAAATTATCACACATTGCGTTTTTTTCTCTGTTTGCTGGATCTTAATCAGAATTCAGTTTGCTTGTTCTTGAACAGCATGACACCCCTTCTAGACCTATATCAAAGTTCCAGAAATGTGATTCGCTGCATTAAATGTACAGCCTAGTCAATTCTTTCATGTTTCTTCGTCTTACGTTGAAGTCCAGTTTTCTTATCATTTATTTACACGGATATGTTAGAGGTCTAGTTACAGACAAGGAGGGGGTCATCGTTTTCGCAACAACTTGTTCAGATCTGAGGTCAAGTGATGTTGGTGTATTCGAGAGGCAAGCCTTGCTGGACTCAGCAAAGATAAAAATGTCAAGTATTGTTGTATGGAAAAGTTCATTGGACACACAATGCGGAAAGAAGCATTGGAGAATATTGTAACAACGGGCAAGGTAGATGGAAAGACAGGCAGGGGCAGACAGAGGGAAAAGATACTGGATAAGTTGACAACATGGCTAGGAGCAGCAAGAACAACAGACACCATCACTGCAACGCAAGACAGAATGAAGTGGAGGTCCATGATCGCCCACGTCAGTCTGCAAGGCACCGGATGATAATGATTAGAATTAATATGGCGGGTGCTCTGGTGTGTTTTGCTTCTTCTTTCCTATTAAACATCTATCATTCTTATCTCCCCTCCTTCTTTCTTGTGTTTGTTACTCTCTTATAACACCTGCTCTTCGTACTGATATTGGCCTTATGGGTTGCAAGTGCCGTAAAACTCTTACTAAACAAACAAAGATATTTTTATACTGTCTATACGTAGTTACTACAACCACTCTTATGCGAGATTCCTTGAGGACCATGATAATGAATCATCAAAATCAGCTCAAAACTTTCTCTTTTTTCAAAAACAGCGTAATCTGGATATTAATATACTCCTAGTAAAACACAAAGGGGGAAAATGCCCGTAAAATAGTCTTGGGTGTTGGATAAATGCAAGTAATACTAAACAAAATATGAAGAAAAAAAGTGACACAACTGAATATCGTAGAAACATTTAATGTTTTATTAGTCCTATGATATATGGAGATAGTGTTTACTGCATCTTGGCAAAAGGTATTTTTCCTACGTACACTGAGTACAGTATTACATTATAATAATATACAACATGCCACAAGAATCTATTACTTGGAAGAAATGTTATTACACATATTCAGCATAGTATATAATACATACATACATACTATATTATA